CCTGCTCTCCAGACTCAGTGAGGCTGAAAGATGAGGTGCATGCCCAGATCCTGACGGTTCACACTCCTCAGAGTTTTCAGTAACATTCCCACTTAAGCATGTTCCTGATGTGCCACACTCAGGAGGGCTCAGCTGGAGTTGCTCCTCAACAGCTACAGAGGTTTCAAACTCAAAGAATGTCAGAGAGGCAGGTGACTCAAGTTGGTCCTTTGCTTCAATGTTGGAGACAGGAACAGATTTTAAATGTTCATTCTGTATTGCTGACCCAGAGGAACTTCTTGCTCTAGAAGTTTCAGAGATGGGCTCTGCAGGATTAAGAGGACCTAACCTCAATAAACTGTTGTCCAGGCTTTCTTGGTTGCTGATGGGGCACCCTAGAATGCAGGCCTGAGTTAGGGGTGGCTTTCCTGTGGGGGCATAGCCAGATGGCTGGATGGCTGTTGGCTTCTTAACTGCCATCTTCTGACTGTGATGCATGTGCCAATCTGCCTCAGCAGTTATACCTTTAATTTGTGATTCTGACAGAATATTCTGCTTGATTCTGTCTCCTTGGTTGTCTTCATCTGATATACACTGCACTTCATCAGAGATGATGACTAGATCTTTGTTGCTTTCTAGCTTCACCTTATGCCTTTCAGTTTTGACTTCACTACCAGATATTGACGGATGCTGCTCTGCTGCAAAGCAAGATTTCATGGATTTGCTATTTTTTCGACTTTCTTTGGGTGATGGTTCATTATGTATGGTGTAGACTGTGTTGCCTCTCTGCCGAGTGACCCCTGGAGATCTGCTACATGACCCTGTGCTAACAGCATCTGCTTTAGCCCTCTTAAAAGATGCACTCATCCTGAACCTATTTTCATCTAAATTAGCTTCTCTTGATGAAGACTCAGAAAACACTAACCTCCTCCTCTTTTCTGCAGTTTCATTCTCTTCTCTGCTTCTGAAGTATAGTTTTCCATACTGCCAGTGATAGGCATGTCCAGCTGCACATATCCACAGAACAGAACTGTCCCTGCTGGAATGACCTGTGTTCTGCTTAATTTCCAAGGCTGGGATTTGATTGCAGATGGTCCCATGAGTGTGTGCCCAGGTCACAAGATTGGAGAGATCAGTCCAAGGTGAACTGGCATTGCTGCACCTTCTGTCATCAACACTCTCATTCTGTAAAAATGTGTTGGAGATAAGTGAAAAAGCAGTCGTGGGGGCTATTTCTAGCCCCATCTCAAGAGAGCAATAATTGTAGCTCAGTGATTCCTCTTTACAATAAATAAATTAATTTGTTCACTCGGAAGACCTGGAGGTTAGTTTGTGGGCATGGTCCTGGAATGACAAACTGATTCTAGATAAAATGAATGTGTACTAATGGGCCCTGAGTCCTGATCAAGTAGCTCAGCTTAAGAATTTATCACACCTCAGCTGAGCCACAGCAGCTGCTCACGAGCGTGTTCTAAATCCACAGCACAACTGAGAGGTAACTCGCTCGAGTGTAGTGCTCTGTTTGCAAATCTGAGTCCTGTGACCCAAGCAAGCTTGGATCCCACAGACAATTCTGTACCCACAGAAAATAACAGGGGAAAGTGTCAGGAATCAGCTTCTCACTCTCCCACCTCTCCACGGCCAACAGGGCCTGTCCTTCTCTCATCTGCCAAAATGGCAGCACTACCTGCCTCAAAGGGAAATTGGAGATACAAATAAGTTTTGTGGGATGTTTTTTAGAAATTAAAAAACGGACCTTGCATCCACATGTCTAAAAGTTGTTTTAAAAAAAAAAATTCTACAATTTTTAATGCTATAGTTGGTTCTGTCTATGGTATTGTTTATGCTATAAATGAATACTCACCATGCTGCTGTTTCCTATCTCACTGAGCCTTCTCTCAGGTGGAGATCAGTCAGTGACTGTCTGAATATTCTTTCTTTCTCTCTCAGAACCTAAAATAATCACCATACATGTGTGTGTGTCTACATGTGTGTATATATACATATTAAAAAAAAAAAGGGCTAGCAGATGCAACTAAATTTTTCAATGCTCAGTCCAAAATAAATGCTCCTGCAGAACAGGTGTCTTCATTACAGTGGCCTCCCATTGAGCTTGAATGAAATATACAGAGAAAGCCTGACTTGTGTAAATATTTGTAGGATTAGCCTCTACAGTGTACCAACAAAAGTTGGAACAAAATATCAATATTGAAAATAGAATTTTAAAAACCTCTCTGTGAGATGTTCCTTTCAGCACTGGCACTTTGAACACAGGCTGTGGTTAGCAATCCTTACTTCTGCAAACAGAGTGAACTGCAGAAACAGAAACAGTGAAGATAGTTCAGATTCTGACTTCTTAAATAGTAAAAAGAAGTAGTTTCCTAACTAAAGAATTATTTGCATATATAACTTATATTTACTAGAGACTAAATCTGAAATTCTCCCATCTGTTTTGAAACATGCTGTGTAGTAGTCTAGAAAGTCACTGTCATTGGTGTGTAACGGGTGAGAGAAGAACAATTGGTCACATAACTTACCTGTGTCAACACAGGTATGGCAAGAGAGCCAGGAAGCCTTGGATGCTGTGTGACTGACACCCCTGCCTTTACAGCTCACAGTGGCAGCCTTTGCTCCAGGCAGAGTAGCCTATTATTAATGAAAAGCTTTGCATTTAGTGGTAGTAAAAGATGCCAGACTGAAAACACTGGATGCAGGAATCTTGTCTAAACCGGTTCTTTGAGCAGCTCTGGCCTAAATGTGACAGGGCTTCCTGGTGAGAACAGGCCCTTGGTGGCTTTGAAGGTGAGCACACACGTGGGGACAGCCCAGCACACGCTGGTGGGTGAGCTCCAGCCTCCGGCTCTCCTGCTCCAGCTGCTCCCATTCTCCCAGCGAGCTGTGGGAGATGGGAGAAGCCCATCCTGGCTGACAGATGCAGGGCTGCTCTGTCATCTGTGAACATGGTGTTTGTCTGCAGGGATTTATTTCATGAGGATGCTGGTGGAACTGAGGGAAGGCCTGTCAGTGCAGTGGCAGGAGACTGCCCTGCTGCAGACACCCCGGGCAGAGGCTGTGCCTGGTCCCTCTGCTCCCCTACCTCTGGTCCTGCTCACCGGCTCCGCGTGAGGCCAAGGAGCCCTGCCTGGAGGGAGGGCAGTGAGAGCTGGCTGAGGAAAGGAAACAACCAAAAGCCAAGCATGTAAGAGCCCTCTAACCTCAGGAGACAGGGCAGGGACATAAATGTCCCTTACAAAGAGAAGAGCCCAGGTCAAATCTCTGGCAGGGCGAGGGCGTTGGTCACACTCCCCGATGGGGAACGAGCGGTTGGAGCTGCTCTGGTCTGGGGTGAAGCTCTGTCAGGCCCTGCTGTGCTCAGGCTGGTATCAATCCATATGTTCCTTCTTATGGCTTTCTAATGATAGTACAGATAATTTTAGCCTAGAACGCTTTGCTGTTTGTGTCCCCCAGCGTGTGAAACACACAGAACTAGGATTTTCAAAGAATTTTTTACTGAAATCCGCTGCTTGCTTTAAACAAAAACCAGACCAAAACCCCCTGTTTTAAAGCAGCAAATGGATTTTGAGCTCTTGACCTTCGCTAATCTAGGCATTGTATAGGATCTGCTGTCACCATGACCTCACTCCTGATGAATGACAGAAAACGGGGTCGGAAGTCACCTCAAATGGCCGTTTCAGCTGTCCCCATTCCTCACAAAAATGAGCTCTGCCCAAACTTCTCCTGAGAGGTGTTTGTCCAACACCTGAGGACAGGGAATTCCCAGCCTGGTCCTGGGCCTTGGAAAGCTCAACATAAACTTATGGGAGAACTGTTATTCCCTTCTGGAGTCAAAGAAAGTTTTATCTTCTGTGTAATTGCTCCCGAAAGGGCTGAGCTGCTCGGACAAACGAAAAGGAACTTTCATGCCAATAATCTGGTGCTTACAGTTAGTGTGGGAAAAGGTAACAGGAACGGAAGCTCAGCATGGTCAAAAGGCCATGAAATTACTGACTTGGCAGAGGAACATCTTGATTTCTATCACAGGAGTCTTTAAATGGAATGCTTTTATCTTTCCTTATCTCCAAGCACATGTCTTCCTTTTCCTGATCTCTTTGAAAAAAAAAAAAAAGCCTTTTTTCTCTTAATATTTGGTTCCAAATAAAGGCTCTTGGTAATCAACCAAGGACACCTCTTCAGCCCACTCCTGCTCTCGTATTTACATGAGTTGAGAGTACCTCCAAAGAAACTGTCAAGTGGAATGAGCCTGAATTTACAGCTACAATTGAGCAGAAAAAAATGAAATATCTATTTACCCACAAAGGCTGAACTGACACACTTCTCATCTCTTCAATTAGTAAAAATCCATCTTGATCATTGCCACAATTTTTACCTGCTTCCAACAAAACCAGGACCCTGTCAGGGGGAGGTTGAGTTTTGTTTTGAAACCTTGTGTCTGGTTTGGTATCTGCCTGGCTGTGAGTGATGTAGTGTTTTAATTATCTTTCCAGGAGAGGCTCCCATCTGATAATGGCCACTGTGTATGCAGGACCCACACCTTTCTGCAGAAAAACAGGACATTCCAAAGCTGCACGGTAAATGTTTTAATTTTTTTTTAACCCATAGGGGATTTAGTGCACTAACAGAACCTATAGTTAAGTGAATTTGTGCTCACTAGAGAAAAAAATGTTTACAAAAGGTATTTGTAAGATTTTGCTTTCTCATGTGCCTGGTTTACATAGGAAGCTTTCAGGACATCAGCACCATATGATTATTTTATCTCTGTATTCAAGAAAATGTGGCCAAGTAATTTCTACAGCATTTTAGTGGAGCTCTTAAAACTCAGGTCTGACTAAAAGCATCGAAATGCTTATTCTGTTTTAAGACTTTTCTGTGTCCAGTTTGAGCCCTTGGGGGGACAAAAAACATCCTTGGCACTTTCTGCAAGTGATTTTCTTGTCAGATCTGTCAAAGACAGGTACCTGGAATCACCTCTGAATGTAAACATCTGCATCTTCCTCTCTCTACACTGCAGCGGCCTCAGTGCAGCCGTATGGAACCCTCTGTGACATAGGGAGGCTTATGCAAGCAGGATAACTAAATAAAGAAACTAATGGTATAGGCACCGCTTTGTTCCTGTCCCTCCACCCCGTAATAGTCCTCGTTATGTTTCTCTTCAGTCTATTTCACAGATTAGAAACCTGCGGCACCGCACAAAGCAAGTAAATATGAGAGCTGTGGCTTCTCGGTGCCAGATAAGACAGTGCAGGAAACTGGAACAATCCCAGCAGGAAAACAACAGGATACAGAACAGCAGTTCTTAAACTTGACTCCCACCCCCTTCCCCCAGCAGAGATTGTGTGCCCCCCCCTCGCTTGAGAAACACTTACTGGGGGTGGAGGGACATGGGGCAGCCATAAAACAGACATCAGGAGGGGGCGGGTGGCCAGAGAGCTGCCAGGAACGGGGCGAAGGCCACTGTGGGGGATGTGGTGTCTGGGGCAGGAGTGGGATGAAGTTGTGCTTAAACACATCTGGTTGCAAGACGGGAGTTGAGAGAGAAGCAGAAGTAGCTCATGGCTGCCAAAAATCGTTGAGCTTGTCCCACCACTTCTTAGCAAAGGCCTTTGGGGTGGATTAATCATTTCCCAGCACATCGTTTTTCCTGTTCTCTGCAATGTTTGTTTCTCTCCTCCCCCTCCCCTCTACAAGAGCCTTCTCAGCACCTCTTCAGCTCTTTTCCTGCTTCACCACGTCCTTCCACCACTACCTCCTGCCCCACTTGCAGAAATACAACTCCCAAGATACATTCTGTACTTGCGCCAGAGCAGCTTTCCTCCATTTTGAGAGATGCTCCTAGAAAATCACACCCAGTGTATCTGATGGAGGGCAGGGTCTGATTGCACGCACCGGCTCTGAGCGAGAGAGGAGAGACTGCTGTTAAATATTAGCCTACAGCACCACATTCCTTAGACAAGAGAGTTTTTGTTCAAAGAATCAGACACTCTTTTTTTTCTTTGGTGAGTCCTAATCATCTCTTCTCTCGAGGGTCTGCGTTACAGAGCTGCTGTCCTTGTAACCTCACTGTGAGCTCTAAATCAAGTCTTCTTAAAAGAGCTAATAAAAGCCACAGCCAGCTGGCAAAGGATCTCCTGGTCCAACAAACAGTAATCAACCACTCAAACCAGCTGTAGGAAAGGAAAAAATTAATTTACAAACCAGGGACTTCTATAAATAGGATCTAATATTTT